TATAAGGTGTACCTTACCATTATTCCCATTGTACAGATCAGGGAACTGAAACAGGACTGGTAAGGAACTCACCACTCAGGGTTGCACCGTTAGTAAGCAGCAGATGTAGGATGTGAGCCCATAGAGTCTGGGAACAGTATCTGTGCCCTTGTCTTCTATTTTACCTCTCAATAAAGCGTTCAGCATGATGCCAGGCGCTGAATAACCATAGCAGTAGTTCCCTTGCCCTTCTCTTAGTTCTCCAAGAAAAAGGCAGTATGTCAGCAAAATTACATTTGGCTAAACAAGGAGTTCCCAATATGTAAAAACTGCTTTGGGAGCTAAAGCTATTGGACAATCTAATATCTTGACCAGAGTCTGGCTGTAATCACACGGTGTACCTTTGTTTTTGCCAAGAGCATGAAGTAAATTACCTGCTGATTTTCATGTGGCAAGGACTGGTGCTGTGGGCTTAGCCAGGCTTGATGACCCTCCACTCCAGTGTGGTGCTGTAGGATAAGTACTGGCCTGTTAACCTCAAGGTCAGCAGTTCAAACTCACCAGCCGCTTGGAAATTCTTTCCAGGGTCGCTCTAAGTTGGAATCAACTCAGCGGCAGTTCACAACAACAGCTCCCAAAGAGGAAAAACGAGTCCTTTAGGGGGCACTGTTACTAGAAGAGGAGGAGCAGGGACAGTGATATACTGAGCGTTGCGGCTCAGAGGAACCACTAAATAGCATTTCCACCACAGAGACAGAATTATTTAAAGAAGAAAGTAAAACTGGAGAATATTTCCAGCAATTCATCAGTGAGCTGGAACTCCCCATTTCAAAGACAGGAGGAATGCTAAATAGCATGCAGAGCAAGTTAATCTGTACCCAGGGCATTTTAATAAATTTGCTAAAGAAATCAGTGTCAGCTCTTGTTATACTAGGAAAGAGGACATGTTCTTCCAAAGGGATAGTTGGCTTTTATTTGATTGAAATGCTCAGTATAGTTAAAACACTTACAGTGTGACTCTCTGAAACATTTCAGTTGCATCTTTCTATTGTTTAGTAGTATTAGTTGTTAGTTACTAAATGGATCCTGAAAACCATTTGAGAGATTACTGGTCCTCAAAGACAATTGCTAAAGATTGATTAACTTGACAAACATTTCTAGTGTATCTACTAGACATCAGGTATAATGCTGGGCTTAGAACAATGAAGACACGATCCCTATATACAAGGAATCTGTGGTCTAATGAAGCAGATGGCCATGTTGGGAAGTAAGTGCAGTAAGACATTGGCAGAAGGAACCCTGGTGTCACAATGACCATGTGCTCAGCTGTGGATCAAAAGGTTGACAGATCGAATCCACCCAGTGGCTCTGTAGGAGAAAACTTCATGAAGATTTAAAACCTTAGAATAATTCTTGTGGGGCACTTCTTCTCCATCCTATAGGGTTGCTATGAGTTGAAATCAGCTCGATGGCAAACAGTGGTAACAGGGAGAAGGAATTACTGTAGCAATGTATTAAAGACATGATGGGACTAAAACTTGTGTCCTCTCATCCTCAGTGTCCATAGCAGCTTCAGTCATCTATGCCTATGCCTGGCTGGTGCCTTTCGCACTCTGGGCTTTTCTCATGTGGAGAAACAGCAAAGTGATGAACTTCGTTTCTTATTCATTCTTGGAGATTGTTTGCGTCTATGGATATTCACTCTTCATTTATATCCCCACAGCAGTAAGTACCATCACTTCTGGAGCAGATTCGGAGTGATACCCTGTTCTTGGTTGAAAATCCAGCCAACATCCATTATTTCTCCCCTAACCTAACACTCATGTGCTCCTGAAAAATGCCCTTTGATTTGAGAAGTTGAGTTTGAATGGGGTTAGGGAGCCAAGCGCCTTCACTGAATCTCGAGCCCTTCATTATTATGAAAGCATTCGCCTTGGTTTGCATGCTGGTGGCGTTTCTCCAGCCTGCGCTGAAAAACCAGAATGGCAGTGGGGCCCAGCTGCTGATTGGCTCAGGGGCCGTTGTAAACATATGTGCCTGGAATGAACAAATGCCTCTCTGAAATGCCTCCAAAGAACCCCTCCCTCTCCTCCTTTTCTCTTCTTTCAGATACTGTGGATTATCCCCCAGAAAGCTGTTCGTTGGATTCTAGTCATGATTGCCCTGGGCATATCAGGATCTGTCTTGGCAATGACATTTTGGCCAGCTGTTCGTGAAGATAACCGGCGCATTGCATTGGCCACAGTTGTGACGATTTTGTTGCTTCATACGCTTCTTTCTGTGGGCTGTTTGGTATGATCTCATTCCTATATTCTTTTTGGTCTTTTATACACAAATGCTAAAAGACCTCAAACTATTAGGCATGATAGTTCTTTTAAGCTGGCTCCTTGAAACAATTATCATTTTAAATAGACTCTCCTGGGTAGACAGTGGTCAAGTTATGAGAATTTCATTGTAATATCTGGCATTACCTAATTTCTGACATTTGGTGAAGATTTGGTATTTGGCCACAGAGAGGTATGGGGGGACTGTTGTTGTTAGGTACGTTGAGTCAGTTCTAACTTATAGTAACCCTGTATAGGGTTTCCAAGAAACAGCTGGTGGATTTGAACCACTACCCTTGGGGTTAGCAGTCCAGTGCTTATCTACAGTGCCATAAGGATCTAAAAATGGAGTTGGGAGGCAAGACTGGGGATACACAGCCTTTGCTGGTTTTCTGTATATATGAGGGTAAGTAAAAAAAAACATTGCTACAAAATCATAGAAACCTTTATTAAGCAAAAATGTCAAAATGTGAAGCTGTTGTGTCTCGAGATAATCTCCATCTGGGTCTACACTTCTGATGGTAGTTTTTCCACCTCTCTAACCTTTTCCAGAAGAATTCTATGCTCTTTGGTTTACACATGTCAAAATTGCAGTTTTGCCATCCTTGAGGGACTCAAATCATGTTCTTTGAGTTTGGGGAGCAAAAAGAAGTCTGAAGGGGCAAGATCAGGGCTATAGGGTGAGTGGAGTAAGATTTCCCGATGAAAGTTTGATAGAACAGCCCTTGCTACCCTTGAGCAGGTACATTATTATGATGTGTCAAAAAATTTCTTGACACAACTTTTCTAGACCTTTTCTCATCAACGCAGTTTCCAGTGTTCTTAAAACAAATTCATAATAAGTTCCTGTGTCCTTCAAGAAAATCTATATCAAGATCACTCCTTTGGAATAAAAAATAAAACAAGACAAAAACAGTTACTGTATGAGCTGCTATTTCTGTCTTAAATTTAACTGATTTAGCAGATCCCCTTAGAAGTCACTGTTTTGATTAGACTTTTTTTAAAAGGCATCCTAAGGAGACTAAGGTAAGTGCCTTACTGAAAGAACTTGTCTACAGCCATATACTGACCACAAAAAACATTTAAAAACACATTTTGCTTGGAAAAAACCTGTGCATGTATGAGCTGGAATTCTAGTAGTAACACTTTTTGACTTACCCTCTTTCCTATAAAGATTTTGGAAATTTAAAGTTTCATAAATAGAAAGCTTGAGAATGAAGTCAAATATAGGAATATGGAGTTCTAGTAAAGGTGAATAACATTTAAAGTAGGTTTTAAAATTTTATGTGTTTAGGTGTCCTTTTAGAAAGAGCATGTGCCTTTTGAGTCAGCCAGGCCTGTCACTCACTGGTTGTGTAATCTTTGGCATGTTGTCTAACATCTCTGAATTTGAAGTTATCACTCTGTAACATGGGTATAATATTTTTTTGCCACATAGGATTGTTCCCTTTCCTTTGACCTCAAGGAAGTGTGGCTTACTATATGCTGTATACATTATGTGCAAACATTTCTGTCCATGGCCTTACTAAGCCTTGATGCCACTTTTTAAAAAAGGAGCATTCAAGAATGTTAAAAGTCACTGATGAAGGAAAGGCCATACTCACGGGAGGATGTCGTGAAGCACTTAGAGTACATCTCTAGAGCGCAGTCTAGACCTTTGGTCCAGTTTTGCAATTGTGGGAGTAGATGTTTCTTTGACACTATATGGACTTGAATATTTTTGTCAATAGACAATCATATTTCGTTTAGTAAGATCCCTGTATTTTCTCATTAAACAAGCATCATACCAAGTAGAGCTGGCTGAGAGACAGACCTGTATTTCTGGTACAATGTATTTCACATGTGCCTTAGCATTAAGCTTTTGAGACAAAATTGTTGGTTTGACACTTGGCAGAGTGACAGCATCAATTTCTGGATCAAATCTTGAAATGCTCTTATGACCCTCTGTCTGCTGAAGAACAATGTCCTTTCCTTTGTAACTAACTGTACTTTACTGGCATTCCCCCCACCCCACTCCCTTCTGATTTTTTTCCCTGTACTTGGCTGAGAAGTTGGTGCTGAGGAGGAAGCAGGAAAAAGACACTGCCCTGTTCAGTTCTGTGAGGCCTAGAGAGTAGCCGGACCGACTGGATGATGGAGCAGGCATGTTCTCTTCATTATTATTACGAGTCTATCCCAATGGTACTTGTGGTGAGATTTTTCACCTCCTATACCTGTTACTGGAGTCCTGGTATGGTGTTGTAGGTTAAGTAAACCACAAGGTTGTCAGTTCAAACCCACCAGCTTACTCCTCAGAAACCTGATAACAGGGTCACTATGAGTTGGAACTGACTCAATAGCACTTAACAACAACAATACCTGTTACTACCTTTTGGGGCAAATGGCACTAAAGATAGGATTTACTTGCTCATCTTGCTGTTTAGGAACTTTCTAAGAAAGAACATTATCCTGAAGTAGTGCATTGGATTGGGAGCCCTTAACATTGTGAACCAAGGTGTAAATGATGTAACTTTCAGAGCCTTGGTTTCCTCATCTGTCAGAGATTCATATTGTCCTAGGCTTATGTGAGACTGAATGAGATAGCTCTGAAAACCCTTCATGTACTGCGAGGAGCTCTCTAGATGCAGAGAAGTTAGTAAAAGCACCCCATGTAATCAGAAACTCCTTAAGGCTGGTCTATTGTCTATTCCTTTTTAGGGCCTCAGTAAGAGTTTTTCAAGGTCACACAATTATTCAGTGGACTAAAACTCAAGTCTCCCACATTGAAGAGAATGCCCTTTCCATGGTAACTAACTGTTTCTCACTGGCATCTTTCCCATCTCCTGGACTTTTTACCCATTAATACCTGACTGAGATGGTGGTGGTGAGAAGGAGGCAGGAGAAAAGGCATTGCCTTGTTCCACTCTGTAAGGGATTCAAAAGAACAGGGCCAGTTGGACAATGGCAGAGCACCTACTGTGGGTCAGATACTTCTTGGAGGGGAAGGCATAGTTTTCTCCTCTAGCAAGGGAACCGACCTGTGGCCACATATTTAGCCAGGAGCCCACCATGCCTAGTTTTGTTCTCTACACTGGAGGTTCCCTCCTTTTGTCTCTCCTGGAGGACATAGACAATACAAGAGCGCTGAAGCAGAAGTAGAAGACTTGGGTTCCAGCCCCAGCCCTAACGCTCCCTGCTCTGGGTCCCTCCCCTCTTTGCCTCCTCACTTAGAAAGAAGAGGCTGATCATACTGTAGTGACATCTTCACTGTTGTTTTAAGGATGAGTAGTATCGTTTGCAGCGTGAAAAATATGGCAAGCCACACAAACTGATGGCATTATTATCACTGGAAGGGCAAAGAGGAATTGGCAGGGGAGTTACTTGAGCTGAGGGACACCAGCTGAAGCAGACAGCTTGGCTTTCTCACTCTCCCCTGGGAGACCCAGGTTAGTGCAGTGAAACATGTGGCAGCCCCACACCTGCTGAGGGCCCCTCAGGACTTGCACATGTAAATGATCTCTGAGTTTGTTGTGGAACAAATTTGGTGGCTGGCTAAGGAAGCACCCAGAGCATGTATCCTTGGCCCATGGTTGGAGGTGTACAAGCCCTGGCTAATATCATAGGGTCTTGGGCCTTAACTTTCTGATGGGGGACACTCCTACCCCTGCTCCTACAGAGCCTGGTCTGGGTGTGACTCAACCTGAAGACCTCCACTCTGCCTAGAGCCACAGTGCCTGGGTTGTGCTATTAGCTGCCTTGGACTCAATCCCTGACCATGATGATCCATGTGCTACAGAGTAGAAGTACTCCAACGGGTTTTCTTAACAGAGACATTGCCAGGCCTTTCTTCTGTGGAGCTACTGGGTGGTTTGAGCTGCTAATCAGGTCAGTAGCTGATTGCAGACCTTTTGTACCACTCGGGCTCTCTCTGCCTAGCTTTGCCATAGCCACCCTGTAGGACAGCGTGGAACTTCTCCATAGGGTGTCTGAGGCTGTAAATCTTATGGAAGCAGACTGCCTCATTGTTCTCCTGCTGAGCGACTGGTAGGTTTGAGCCACCAACCTTTCAGTGAGCAGCCCAATGCTTAACCCAAGATACCACCAGGGCTCCTGCCTCCCTCCATAGTAAGTAATCAAATTGCAGGCTGGTTTGGAGAATTGTTGTCGTTAAGTGTCATAGAGTGGGTTCCAACTTATAGTGACCTAGTATAGGGTTTCCAAGGAGTAGCTGGAGAGTTTGGACCATTGACCTGCTGGCTCAAACTGACCTTTTGAGCCTGTGCTTATCCTAGAGTGTCACACCAGGACTACAGGTTGGAGAATAGAAGGGCATATACCCAGCTGGACTTGAATCATACTGAGACATATTAGTTGTATAGTCTTAGGGAAATCTCTCTGTTAACCCTAACTGTCTTATCTTTAAAATGAAGAGAAATTGCCTGTTGCAGGCTGATGGCACAGATTAATTATGAGGTATATGCCTAGTGTACAATAGGCACTCCCCAGATGATAGCTGTGGTTGTTGTTACTAAGAATTTGTGGACTGAATGAATTAATGAATCATAGAATTATAGCTTGTTCAAGAAAAGGTCCTTGGAGATCATCCTTTCATGTAAGAGATAAGCCCTTGGGAATAGAGTGACTTGCCCAAAGTCACAGAGCGAATTGGTAGCAGACATAGATTTAGAACCAGAGCCTTCTGGCTCAGTCAACCTGATGTGGGTTTCCTACAGTAGCCTGGAAGAAAGTCTGGTTCCTGCTTGTGAGGACTTTGCAGCTCAGTGTACCTGCAAGAGAAAGGAGGACCCAGCACTGCCAGTTTGGGGCCCTGTTCCCACCTTTGGGATGGTACTTTCTTTCCTGCCTCAGAAAAGAGCTGTAGAAAGGAACCCTAGGAGGAGGCCCTTTAAAAAGTAAGCGAGTTCCTCTGGGAATGTGACAGGCTGGCTGGAGTCTGCAGGAAAAGGCGTCTGCTGGAAACTTTGGGTACTGACTGTAGGGTAATATGAAATAAGTTGAGAATATTCTGGCGTGTTGTGTTGGTGCCCCCTTCTGGCTAATGCTGAGCAGAGCTGGTAATTGGCTCTTGACTCGGTGGTTTTTGACTTTTACTTTACATAGCAGTGGTCCTTGATGTAGTAACAGGTTTACCTTTCTTCTGAGCAGCCAATGTACAAAGGCTAGGAGATCAATATTTTCCTGAGCTAAAGTTAGTCTTCTCAAACCCTGAAACATGGGTGGAAAGTTTCTCTTAACATCTTCCCTCCTCCGTCTCCTTGTTTGTGGCAGTTAAATTATAGATGGTGAATGAAAGCACTCATCCAACCTCTCACTTCCCAGTTGAAGAATTATGAGATAAGGCATGCCTAGACCTTCCTTTTACAGGTTTGCAGAGAGCCGACTGGTTTAGCAAGGTCAGCGTTTCGAACTCACCAGCTTCTCCTTGGGAACCCTATACAGGGTCGCTATGAGTCAGAACCAACTCAGTGGCAATTAACAACAATCTCAGTTTCATTCATTAAACACTAATCATTTACATAGAATGTGTGCCCTTTGCCAGGTGCTGTTAACACAGAAATGAAGAAATACAGTCTTTGCCCTGGAGGAAAGACCGTATAATGTACGGCCTGAGAGGGAGCCCTGGATGGTACAGTGGTTAAGTACTCAGCTCCTAAAGATACTAGCCTAGAAAACCCTATGGGGCAGTTCTACGGTGCCACATGGGGTCACTGTGAGTCAACATCAACTCCATGGTATCTGACAACAAGAGCTCAAGCTTAAGCTTTAGAGTCAGACGGATGTAGCTTTGCATCCCTCATTAGTCATGTGCACTTGCTCAAGTGATGATCTCTCTGATCCTCAATTTCTTCCTTTGTCAAATGAAGATAATAATGACTGCTTCACAAGGCTGTTATGAGGGTTCAGTCAGATGATGTAAATGATAGTGAAGTTTGAAAAGGCACTCAGAGAGTCAAGTATGAGGGACAGACATAAGCAGAGGCAGTTGTAATCCAGTGTGGTGGCAGAGGTAGCAGAGGAAACAAATGCCCAGGAGTACTGTGGGCATGAAGTATAGAGGAACACACTCACCTAGGACATTGTGTCTTAACTTCCATTATGGTTCTCTTTTATTCCAGGCATACTTTTTTGATGCACCAGAGATGGATCATCTGCCAACTACAGCTACTCCAAACCAGACAGTAGCAGCAGCCAAGTCCAGCTAAACGAGAAAGTAAGATTATATTTTATCTCTTACTGTCCAGAAGGGTAAAAAAATAGGCAAGTGCATCAGTTAGCATCCAGACCCTTTTATCTTTCCGTACAGTTGAGTGCTGTGTGTACATGTACTTGTCAGTGTATATGTGTCCCTCTTGTTGAAGATTTGTTTTGAAATCCACATGGTGTTGGTTTTATAGAGTTGGGAAGCGTGAGCTTAGATTCTTCTATAAGAGGTCGTGCCTTTGTTCCAGCATCTCCTTTTTCTCCTCCTTCCCTTACTTTTTCCAACAGCAGAGAAAGTATTTTGTTCCATGTGACTTCAGTTCTGGTGTTTTTTTCCAGTTTCTCTGTGACTTCTGAGATTGGCCTCAGACACTTAAGTGTGACACCTCTTGAACTATTCATGAGGTTTTCAGTGTTTTAAATTTTCATTCCTGGTTTGTTCTTAAGACTCTTTTTTTTTTAATGTTGAGAATATATACAATAGAAACATACACTAATTCATCAGTTTTTATGTGTACAAGTGCCATTGATTCATTCTTCAAGTTGTGGCTCCGTTCTCAGCCTCCTTTTCTGAGTTCCTCCTATAATAACATAATCTCACTGCCCTCTAAGGTTCCTATCGAATTTTTCAAATTGCTGTTGTCCCTCTGATCCCATATCATGGTGGTTATGTGCCATGGAGTCCGTCCCAATATAGCGTTTCCAAGGCTGTAAATCTTTATGGGAACAGAAAGCCTTATCTTTCTCCCATGGAACTGCTAGTAGTTTCGAACTGCTGACTGTGAGGTTAACAGACTCATAACCACGACGATATAGATAGTTCTTGGAAGAACATAATGCTCAAGGCAGACATGTTTTTTATAGTTAAAACTACTGCTTGATTTTGAGAAACCTTCAGGTTGTATTTTTGGTTTAAGTTTTAAAGATTATCTCAGGACAATAGCTTCAGGGTTTCATGTAGTCTTCCAAGTCTCCAGGAAGTCTCGAGTCCACGGGAATATGAAATTCTTTTCTGTATTTTCCCCCTTTTAATCAAGATTCTTCTATGGAATTTTGATCAAAATGCTCAGTAATGTTAACTGGACATCGTTCAATTCTTCTGGTCTCATGGCAAAGAAGGCAGTTGTTCATGGAGACAATTAGTCATACATTCTTGACTCTCCTTCCTTTATTGCTCCAGGTGAACAAAGGCCAATTGTGCCTTGGATGGCTGTTTGCAAGCTTTTAAGCCCCTTAGGAACAATTTAGGAAACAGAACAGACGTACTAAACACATCATCAGGCTAATTGACTAGGGTGTCCCATGAAACCATGACCCTAAACCTCCAAACCAAGGAACCAAATTCCATGTGGTCTTTGGTCGTACAGAAGCAGCCTCAACAGCTACTCTTTAGATTTTGGTTTCTAAGGAACATTCTGGAGCCCTGGTAATGTAGTGGCTACGCTTTGGGCTGCTAACTGCAAGGTCAGTGGCTCAAACACACTGACCCTCCGCAGAAACTCTATACAGGATTGCTGTGAGTCAGAACCTCCTCAACGGCACTTAACAACAAGCATTCTGACTATACTTCTTCCAACACAGATCTGTTTTGGGACAAGCTTTCACATGTATATGACGATATTGAAAATACCATGACTTGAGTCAGGCACACCTTAGTCCTCAAACTGCGATCTTTGTTCTTGAGCACTTTAGAGAGGTCATGTCCAGCAGATATGCCTAATGCAATATATCCTTTAATTTCTTGACTGCTGCTTCCATGAGCTTTGATTGTGGATCCAAGCAAAATGAAGTCTTTGACTTCAATTTTTTCTCCATTTATCATGACTGTATTTGTTGGTTCAGTTGTGAGGATTTTTGTTTTCTTACACTGAGATGCAGTCCATACTAAAGGCTGTTATCTTTGATCTTCATCAGTATTTTAAGTCCTCTTGGCTTCCAGCAAGCAAAGTTGTGTCATCTGCATATGTTGTTAGTTGTTAAGTGCTGTCGAGTCTGTTCCAACTCATAGTGACCCTGTTTAGGGTTTCTGAGGAGCAGTTGTTGTGTTTGAACTGTCAACCTTGTAGTTCAGAATCCAGTGCTGATCCTACAGTACCATACCATATAGCGGATTGTTGTTGTTGTTGTTAAGTGCCTTCGAGTCGGTTCCGACCCATAACGACCCTGTACAGGGTTTCCGAGGGTGTAAATCTTTACGGGAGTAGAAAGCCTCATCTTTCTCCCGCGGAATAGCAGGTTGTTAATGAATCTTCCTCCAATCCTGATGCCGCATTTTTTTTTCATATAATCCAGTTTCTTGGATTATTTACTCAGCATACAGATTGAATACGTATGCTGAAAGGACATCACCAGTTCCTAGTAACCACTAATAGACTTTGATCAGTGTATATTTACCTTTTCTTGCCTTTTATATAAATGAGGTTATACAATATTTGTTCTTTAGTGATTGCTTTATTTTGCTTAGCATAATGTCTTCAAGCTTTATTCATATTGTAGCATCTATCAAGACTTCATTTCTTCCACTGGCTGAGCAGTATTTCATTGTATGTATGTACCACGTTTTGTTTACCCATTCACCTGTCGATGGGCATTTAGGTTGTTTCCACCTTTTGGCTATTGTGAATAGTGCTACAATGAATATTGTTAAACAAGTCTTTTTTGAGTCTCTTTTATCAAGTCTTTTGACAGCATATACCTAGGAGTGGAATTGTTGGGTCATATGGCAGTTCTACAGAGTCTTGGTGTGGCTCTGTGGACTAATGCGCCAGACTGTAAAGCCATTTGAACTGCAAGGTTGGCGGTTTTGGCTCACCAGCTCCTCCTCGGAAACCCTGTACAGGGTTGCTGTGGGTCAGAATCGACTTGATGGCACTTTACAACAACAACAGCATGGCAGTTCTACAAGTTTTTTGAGATGTTGCCACACTGTTTTCCATAACAGTTACACCGTTTTGCATTTCCACCAGCGATGGATAAGGGTTCCAGTTTCCTCACATCCAAGTCAGCTTTTGTTATTTTCTGTTTTGCTTTTTTAATCTTAGCCATCCTAGCAGGTGTGTCATAGTATCTCATTGTGGTTGTGATTTGTATCTATCTGATAGCTGATGATGCTGAGTATCTTTTCATGTGTTTGGTGCCCATATGAATGTCCTCTTTGGTGAATTGTCTAGTTAAGTCCTTTGCTCATGTTATGATTGTCTTATTTGTCTTTGCATTGTTGTATTGTCTAAGTTTTATATATATTTTGGTTATTAGATTCTTGTTGATGGTTTTTAAAGATATTCTCACAGTTGTAGCATGTCTTTTCACTTTTTTGGCAAAGTCTTTTGATGAACAAAAGTTTTTCATTTTTATGAGGTCCCATATATTTATTTTACCTTCTGCTGTTTGTATTTTTGTTATTATATTTAATAATCCGTTGTTGAAAACTAGACCTGGCAGCATTGCCCCTGCTGTTCTTTCAGTGTTTTAGTTTGCACATTTTGGTCCTTAATCCATTTTGAATTTGGGTGGTGTGAAGCAACAATCCTGTTTCATTTTTATGCATATGAAAACTCAATTTTCTTGGCACCATTTATTGAAGAGATTCTTTTTTTCCCGCCAAATGGACTTAGCACCCTTCTCAAAAATCAGTTGGCTATAGATGTGTGGGTTTATTTCTAGACCCTCAATTTTATTCTCTTGATCTGTGCATCTGGTGTTATACTGGTTCCAAACTTTTTTGATTACTGTAGCTGGGTAGTACAAGGCAGCGTCGCAAAATTCATAGAAGAATGAAACGAAAAGAATGAATTTTTACACAAACTTTTTGATGTCCCTTTGTATGCCTTGAAAATCAGGAAGTCAGGTTCTCCTACCTTGTTCTCTTTGCTTTTTTTGAGGATTGCTTTTTTTTAACTTCTGTAAAAAGCTTAGGAATTCAATGAGGTTGCATTGAATCTATTGATTGCTTTAGGTAGTATTGATGTCTAAACAATACTGTCACCTAATCCATGAACATGGAACATATTTACATTTAGTTTAAGTCTTCTTCACTCTCTTTTCAGCAGTGTTTTGTAGTTTTCATTGTATTAAGTCCTTTACATTCCTAGTTAAATTTATTCCTCAATCTTTTATTCTCTTAAATGCTATTATAAATGGAATGATTTCCTTTTCCTATATCTCATCGTTGGTGGATATAAACCTGACTGATTTTTGTTTGCTGACCTTGTACCCTGTAACTTTGCTTAATTTTTCTATTAGCTCTAGAAGTTTTCTTGTGGACTCTTTGGAATTTTCTGTGTAGGATCCTATCGTCCATGAACACAGATAAGTTTATTTCTTTTTCAATGCATTTATTTTCCTTTTCCTGTCTTTTTGCTCTGGCTAGGATGTTTTAAACAACGTTAAGTGGTGAGAGCGTGTTGGCCTTTTATATGTGCCCTGAATCATACTAAGGGATTTCTCTTCTATTCTAATCTTTTCTAGGGTTTTTATCAAGACAGGGTATTGGATTATATCAAATGCTTTTTCTACATTCATTGAGATTATCATGTGGTTCTTTTCCTTAGTTCTATTGATGTGGTCTAAGGTGCGCCTGACCTAAGCCATGATAATTTCAATAACCTCATATGAATGCGAAACTTGAACAGTGAATAAGGAAGATCGTAGAGGAATTGATGTATTTGAGTTATGTTGGAGGAGAATATTGAAAGTACCAATGGGCTGCCAAAAGAACCAACAGATCTGTGTTGGAAAAAGTACAGCCAGAGTATTCCTTGGAGGCCAGGATGGCCAGACTTCATCTCCTATGCTTCGGACATATTGTCAGGAGGGCCCAGTCGCTGGAGAAGGATATCATGTTTGGTAAGGTGGAAGGTCAGAGAAAAAGAGGAAGACCCCCCAGCGAGATGGATTGGCAGCATCAATGGACTCAAGTGTGGCAACAATTGTGAGGTTGGCCCAGGACTGGGCAGTGTTTTGTTCTGTTGTGCATAGGGTCGCTATGAGTCGGTACTGACTCGATGGCAC